GCAAGAGACTGAATATAGTAGTCATTTAAATAATACTGAACCTGTAATACAATTTATCAATTTTGACGAATTTCTTGATTTCTATTCAGAACAACTGGAAGAATTTACTAAAAATAAGAAAAATAAAGCAGATGATTTCCAGTTAAATATAACATGTATCATTAGCTTTTTCTTATTTGATGGATTATCAAAGAAAACTTCTAATCAAATTGCAAAGTAAATCTTTAATATAGATAAATATTCTTGAAAGTAAGTAATTATCAAATTTATATTATTTATCATAAATTAAATACTAAAAATATTAGTACTTTTATTAGTTTCCAAAGAGAATATGAACATTAAAAGAAAATTTCTATATCTTTATAGTGTTGTTTTCAGTTCTTTCATTTATGTATTTATAAACAATTTGTAAATGTAAGCAGAAGGTTTTAGTGAGTAATAATTGAATAAAAATGAAGTAATATTGACAAGAATTTATTTAATATTATCAAATTAATTAATCAGTGTTACATAAATATCAGCATTCTATACTTTAGTTAAATCAATATATTAAACTAAGTAAATAGTAAATTCTAAGTCCTAATTAATTAAAACTACACAATTACGAAACTCTTACATAAAAATTATATAATAATCTATTAATAAAATCAGAAATTAAAAATAAAATAATAAACTGTATTACAAAATGCGAAATTATGAAATTAAAAAGGTGAAAATTGAAATTATCGTGAAGGTATAAAGGGAAGATAGTAAAGGGAATGTTTTTCAAAAAAATGTATTAAAGGTGAGTATAGGATATTAAGCTGTTTTAGGATTTTTAGCTCGTATTTATAAAAGATTTTAATTAAGCTATCCTAGCATTTTAACTATTTGTTATACTGATACCTTGAGAAACTGGCATCTTGACAAATTAGCGCTATGACATTCTAACACCATGACAATCTGGCAAATAATCATCAAAGAGACTAACTGTAATTATTAAGAACGATCTTTAAGAGAAATTATGAAGATTTTGATTAGAATTTGCATTTAATTATAATAATAATATATCTATTTTTAGCGAACAAGTCTAAAAAAATATGCAAATATGCAGATCTTAATTGTTAATATGATACTCTTTTAAGAAAATGATTTGAATGTAATAAAATGCTTAAAATTATTATTAATATAGCAACAAGTTTATATAATTCATGAAGATTTTCATTCTTATTCTAAAAATCATTCTGCATCAGTTTCTGTTAAAGATTTTATTAAAAAAAATATTAATCTTTACCTCTTGAAATTTATATTAAATTTGTTTCTAATAAAATAAATTTATTAATTTACTAAAAACAAATTTATTTTAGTGATTAAAATTCATAGTTAATCATTATAGGCAATTTTTATTTGTATATATATGTATTATATATAGATCATATAATATAGCTAGTATTAATATTATTTTTATCAACATAAAGAAATTAAGAAATTAACTGTATAATAATCATATAACAGATAATTAGTGATAGATAATTAGTGATAAATAAGAATTTTTCACTGAAAAAATTCTAAGTTTCTGAAATAAATAGTAAAATTAAAAATAAAGAATGTAATATTAATAATAAATATATGTCACATAATATAAGTATATACATTTATATAAACTTAAAAATTTTTATCATTATTTTAACAAAAAAATAGCTTGAAGAATACAATTATAAGATAATATTTTTTTTAGAATCTTCAATATAAGTTATTAGTTTTATGATAAGTTTAGAGAAAATAATTAAAAAGAATAAAATTCATTTCTATAAGTATGAGATCAATATTATATGCAAGTTTTATTATTTATTTATATAGAAAGATAATAATACTTTAAACTAATAAATATTATATAATTTATTTAGATAATACAAATAATTTAAAATTAAACTTTATGATTTTTATGCAAAAATTAATAGTACTAAATTTCTGTTAACTTATTTATTTTTTGAAAAAATAGAAATTGTAGTAGATTAATAAAAATGGATACTATAACAGCTTTTTTAATAGAATTTAACTTCACAAATATATAGAACTGAAGTTTTTTGATAAATAAAAATTTTGCTCAAATTTCTATTATATAATATGTGTAACCAAATATTAAATTTAATTATGTTAATAGTATATATAATGTGCTATTGAAAATAAATTAAAAAATCACAATAAATTATATATAATTCATTTATTATACATAAAAAATTTTCTTTTATTGAAATAACATTTGTATTAATAATAAAAATAAGATCAAAAAAGATTTACTTAAAAGAGATATGAAAAATCATATATTGATATTTACATCAGTATTCATTAATTCTAAATTTAACTAAAAAATATTTAATAAGTATTCAAATATAAGAACAAGCTGTAAGAAAAATCTATAAATTTTATAAGTAACATTTATTAATATATCTTTGAATATATATCTGAAAGGAATGGTATAGTGATGATTATCAGCTTATGAAAATATTTCTATTCTTAAAATAATAATGTTTATTAAAAATAATAAAAAGTTTTAAAATGAAATTTTTATACAAAATTTTTTATTTTTGTCTTAAGCTTATTATTTACATCATTTTATTAAAAATGAAACTATTTTAAAAATGAAAATTTCAGCAAATATTAGCTATATAAGAACATTCAAATTAAAAAAAATAATTTAAAGTTAATTGAAAATATTTAAGTAAAAATAAAATTGAAAATACTTATATATAATGTTAGACTTTTAGACTAATGGACTTTTAAACTATTAGACTGCTAGACTAATAGACTTAGTTCATTCTAATTCTATTAAAATTTGGACTATTAGACTATAGATTTCATTTAATAACTATAAATTTTTAGTAATATGTAAATCATTTTTTTGATATTTGTTATAATTTTATTAAATTTACTAATTATTATTTAATATAAAATTTAACAAATAATTAGGTTTTCTTAAACTCTCAATATAAATATCTAGATGTTTTCATTTAGAATTTTAACTTCAAATAGAATGAAATAAATTTAAAATATTTGTAATATTAATTTTAAATACTTTATCATCTAAAAAATTAAAGTTAGTAGAATCATTCTAGTTCAATAATTTTATTATCATATAATTAAAATGATTTTATTATCAATCATTCAAATTAAATGATTTTATTAAATTTTTATGTTAAGCTAATATTATAAATTTGATCAGAATTATAATATATAAAATTATGATTTAGCCAATATTATATAATTATAGTCCATTTGAATTAGAATTAGACTGAATATCTCTATTAGATCTAAAGTCTAATAGTCCATTATTAGGAATTAGATAAAGTCCAATTCTAACATTGCTTATGTAATAAATATTCAAAATTGGATTTGCAGTTGTTCTTATTTTTTAACAAATCAGTTTATATTTGTAAACATTTAATTTAATTAATTTATGATTTACTGATTATGAAATATTAATCATATATATAGGTAATAATTAAAGCAGGATAATTAATATATTTAAGTGAATATACTTGTAATAATCTGACAACGTATTGTTAGAACATATAATAAATTGTTTAAAAAAGAATGTCCAAATATTAAAGACCTTCAGTAACGTTGATTGCTACTGGTGTAATCATTTCTGACTTGTACTTTGGACACTTTTTAAAAACTAGTAGCATGTCAGAATATCACAGGATAATGAAATAAAAATTGAATATTACTACTCCTTTTGATTTAGTATAAAAACATAAGTAAAGTTGAAAAACAGACCCTTTATAATTTGAATTATTCAAGAAAATAAATATAATAATTTGTTACCAGAATTTTTGTGCAAATCTTTATTAGAATCTAATGAAGAGGTTAAAAAAGATCCTACAAATACTATTTCAAACCTATATAAAAAAATATTTCAAACTGAAATGCATTTTTTTGAAGCATTAATTATAGGTATATAAGACAATAATATTTTAGATGAACTTATATTTGATTTATTATTTCAACCTTTTATAATAAACTTACAAAAAATTAAAATAATCATATATTTAATTGGTATACTAATAGAATAAAAAATTTATATGAATTTGCTTTATCTTTTCTCTATTCTAAATCTAAAAAATATGTTTTATTTTTTCAAACTATCGATGAAAATGAATATTTTATTTGTATTTACAAAGAAATTTAATTATCTGAAAAATTTCATAAATTATATTCTAATAATATGTAGAAAAAAATAGACATATTAAAAGGGTAGTTAGAAATTACTTTATTTGGCTTAGATAATTATAATGTAAAGGAAAAACTAGAATAAGTAAGAAAGTTGATATATTTTCATGATGAATAGCATAATTATTTAAAAATGGAACAAATATTCAGATATCATTTATAAAAAAGAATATATAGCCAGGTTAATTAGCATTTATTATTTTAAAATTGAAAAGAAAATAATTGTCAATTAAAGAATCTTTGAATATATCTGAAGTTTTGAATAAAGTTCAAAATAATATTTATAATACGTTGATTTTTTATTAAAATATTTCTAATAAACTTAGTTTAATATAGCTACACTTCTAGATCTCTATTATAAAAATTTGGATTTTATAAAAAATAAAAATAAAAATAATAAATTATTTAAAATTTCATGATAAATATAATAAAATTACTAATAATGAAACTGTAAATTCTCAAGAAAAAATTTAATTAGAACCAGTTTCTTCAGAAGAAGATTCTTCCTATTTGTATAAAAAATATCAACAATTACATTTGATAAATTGTAAGAATAAATAATAAATATTAAATGATAAATCTATTGCTAAAGTAAATAAAATTGCAGATTATTTGGTAATAATATTAGTAATAAAAACTGAAGATTCACTGAAATGGTGGAAGGCTTGTTTACAAATTTTTTCAAATTTTTTCAAACTTACTTGTAAGTATTTTAGCAATATCTACAGATTCTGTATCTAATGAATATTTATTTTCAGATGCTGATAACATAATAAATGTATAAAAAACATGATTAAATATAAATCTAGTTGAAAAAATATTTTTTTTAAAATGAAATATGAATATTATGAATATTTTTGCATTTAACTGGAAAAGAAATAAATAGTAATAGTAATAAATAATCAAATAGCAATATTTTAATAAATAAATATATATAATTTATAATTTTAATTATTAAATAATATTTTTATTTTAAAAAATTAATAATATGAACAGGTAAATGTGACG